TAGTGCAACCATGCCATGATGATCAGCCGTTAGGAGTATTGTCGCCGTTGCCTTTGCTCATCCTGAACTGTTCTCGGCTGTAACCATAGGGAAATGCTTGTTTCGCCGGTGTCGCAGAGTCTTCGCTCATCTATTTACTTGGCGTTTTTGTGCTCTCGATCGCTGCAACAGCAGCAAGAACTGCACGACTGTCAACGATAGCGACATAGCCACAACAAGCCAGCGATCGTCGTCACAAGTCACAGGGCCGTCGTCATTGATTTGGGCAATGATGCTCTTCTTCCTCTTCTTCTTGGTTATTGTTCTTGTTGTTCTTGTTATCCCTGTTATTCTTCGTATTTGTTGTTTTTGTTAGTGTTGTTGCTGCTGTTGTTGCCGCTGTTGCTCGCGGCGCTGCTACTGATGATTGTGACGATGATGATGCCGGTGGGGGGATTCGCCTCTAGCGCCCCAATGAATTGGCTGCCATCATCTGTTCGAATGACTAGTCTTGGATTCAGTGTGTCCTTGCTGATGACCTTCATCAATGACCAGGGAATCGCAATTGTAAACCGTCTTTCTGATATCCCCGCCCCAGTGAGCTGTCAACCTCCCGAGCTTTGTGGAATCGTTCACTATCTTCAACTCTTCATTGAATTGTGATAGGTACCCGTAAGTAGGGCCATAGAAGCCGGCACTCAAAGTACGAAGCCGACGCAAGGTGGAGTCGATGGCGAGCTCACGGAAGTGTGCGGCAAGATGGAGAAGCTGATCGAGAAGCTTGCAAGATTGCGCGTTTAGGGTGGGCTCTGGAGTTTGGGGGTACTGCAACTGTCGGAATGGTTAGTAATACTATTTCTCCGTGTGCAATTATCTTCTAATATCCCCCTCCAAGCATGACTTTTGACACTGTTACTGAACTATTACTGCACACATACCTGTTTTTATGGGATTTCTCGGCGCTGCCGCCTCAGCCAGCCCGTGGTTGAAATGCCGAGAAAGCACTCTGCTCTCGCGCGCAGAACTGTAGAGACCCGATGGCCTGCCCTGAATTGGCTTCAAAAGCCTCGAAGCCTTATGTTCTACAGTGCCCAATTACCCAAATCCCACGACCCCAAACCCCTGGATCCGCCTCCACCCTTGAGCCTCTAAATCCCCGCCTTCTTCGAACGCAAGGAAGGGAGAGGGTGCCAAGATCATCTTCTTCCGGCCGGAGTGGGAGAAGGGCTGCGATATGCGAGGAGGAACCTTCCAGGCATCTAAGCGTTGTGTGGGGCACAACTCCAACTATGGTAAATAAGGGTCTCTTGGTTGGCCCTACACACACACACAGAGGACAGAACCCGGAAATTCACTTCGTCCTACGTGTTTCGATGCAGCTGTGTGACGTTTTCAAAGGGACTGGGAATACGGACAATCTTGTAGGCCTAATGGACGGAGAGTTAAGAACTGGGGGTCTACGTAACTTGAATTCCCGACGCAGCAGATCAAAGTTGCCTGGTGAATCCTGATTCAGAAGGACTCGGCTCGGAGCTGCGTCGGGCTTCACCAAGTTAGTACACGGAACCGTGTCAGCCCTCGTCTGTCACAGAGGCATGCAAGCAGGGTACCTGGATGACCGGAGCCGCTGAAACCGCTGACCGGAGCCCCTGAAACCCTCAACCCTGAACCTCAAGAAGGCCCTTAAACAAAAAAAAGAACCTGAATTCTCCAAAAGCCCTAGGCCCTAGACCTCAAACCGGCCTGGTTCATCGACTTGTGCACCAGTGTGCTTTTCGTCGCGCCATTAACCTTGCCAAGGTAAGTCCAAGCGTGAGTGCTGAAACCGCCCCAAAAAATTCCAAAAAACCGCACATCCTAAACCCTAGGCCCTAAACCCCAGCAAGTACCCTGCAATGCGGGCTTCGTCCTTGCCAAGTAGGAGGGAAACCCCAGCTTTAGCTCACACCTGAAGCTCTCCTGGCGCCAGGGCGAAAGCTTCAAGGTCCCAGCCATGAAACGGGGGATGTTGGCCATGGACCGAGACGAGGGGAAGGCCCTCCAAGCAGGGCCTCCGCCGCGAAATCTAGAGGGTGTTTGTATAGAGGCCTTACTTGAAGGGTCATGGGACTTAGTAACTAGGGTTTTAATTGAGGTAACTATACTTAAATTACTTATAACCCCAGTTAAAGTACTTATAATCTAACTTACTAAGTCCCCTGATCCTCCAAGTAATAACTACCTATACTACTTTGCGGGCTCCATATTGTAATTGCAATATATTCTACCCCCCCAAACCCTAGTCCAATTATTTCAGGCGCCTCTATTGATGAATGTGTTCATGGGGTCTTGTCCGGTCTTGTCAGGTCTTGAAGTATCTGGTTGTAGCAGGTTTCACAAAACTGTTGATTGGGGTTTATAGTTTCTATCAGGACGTGAGAGCTCCTGTGGCACTGCCCTGTAAATTTCAACCCTCTTCCGCTCACCCAAGCAACGAAGCCAGCGGCCATTCAATGCCTAACTGACTGCAAAGCCTGCGCCCCAAATCCCGAGCCAAAAGATGTCTTTGAGGGTTGAGGGTTGCCATACGAAGGTTTCTTTCGAGACCGGTCACGCCTTGAACTCAGTCTTAGATTCTGGTGATATAGGGGCCTTATAAGCCATGGCATGATTGTTCCTTGGGCAGGGTATCTCAAAGCCATATTCTGATAATCAAGGGCGCTAGATTATGTGGCCTTCTATTGTTTCGTAGGCCCCAAGCCCTCTTCACCGTCTATACATCCAATTCCCAACCCACCCTGAAAGGGGTGAAAGAACATAAGATCCCTTATACAACGGCCGAAACCACAATCCCTAAACCCTAAGCCCTCGAACCACATGCCTCGCCTGGATTGTCCGAGTGTGAGCGCCGAAACCCTAAGCCCTCTATGTGTCCAAGTGGACTCCGAGATGTGTCTGTACATTTCGGCCTTTGCAATGCCTGATGGCCCAGCTCGTTGCATCGTGCCAGTATAATGACCAGCTATTCATTGTTGTCTTTGGATTAGTAGATGGACAAAAACCAGATAATGAAATGCAACGGTGTACATCTGTCGGACACCGGGGTCTATTGGACACTCGCACGTGAGAGCCTGGTGCAGGATGTCCAGGGATCCGTCTTCTTCATCACGCTGAAGGACGTTGGATGCTATCGTTCTTGGGAAGCCCCTCGTTTCGTCTCGTGTCTTCAGTTGCCGCAGAATGCAAGAAGAGATCCAGAAGGGGTTAGATAGACCCTAAACCACAAAACCGTACGCCTCAATGTAGCATTCCGCTCGGGAAGCGCTGGTTCATGCTCCACCCTGAAAACCGCGGCCTAATATAGGGGCCAATGTGCCGATGCCGGGTTTGCACTTCAACCGTAGTTTTGCCCTAAACCTCGTCTGACTTGTCGAGCACGAGTGACAAAAAATAGGGGTCTAAATAATTACAAAACTTTTTTGGGGCTTCCTTACATAATATGATGGGCCCTCAAAACCCTATTCTAATTATCAGGGCCCCCCATATTACACCCGGAAGCCCGACAGCGCCGGAAGCCCTTCAGTCGACTGCTGAAGGAGTTCCCGGCCATGGACAAGAGGTGGTGTTGCTTCGGCGAGGTCCTGTCGGGCATGGAGATCATCGATGAGATCGAGGACGCTCAAGGGGGTCGGGGTGGGACTTGGTGCCGGAGATGTTGTGCCGAAGTACGGGTCTGGTCGCCGTGGTCGAGTCGGGCCCCTGAAGCCCTTGCTAGACCTTACTCACCCAAAGATGCTGCATTGAGGGTATATGCGAGGTCAATACAGTAATGCAGGAATGTGCCTTTCCTCACCAATAACAAGTTGAGGTAACTCCGATGCCTCTGAAGGCTATATTTGCCTTGACCACTTGTTCCAAAAACCTACAGTTCGGAAACACAAATCCTGATTCCGAAGATCTAGACGCGAAATCCAGAGCCTTTCTTATATCCAAGTCCTGAGCCCTAGGCCTTAAATCCTGAATGTCGAATTTGGCGGCCTAAATCTCAAGCCCTCCAGTTCGTTCGGCCCTTCGCAGGAGGACTTCGAAGCTCGCCCACACAAGATCCGGATTGCGGATTGCGGCGAGCTGCCCTTGGACGGCTGAATGCCCTGAGTCCGGAATAGGGTTTTGGGGTACATGATGCTTTCATTAGATTAAGCACCCCATAAAGAACAGCCAATGTTTCAGGCTATTATATTTATCATCTGCAAACCACCTCTGTTTCTACGTATACCTCTCATGGTAGCCTACGATTTACAAGAGCTCGGTTTGGTGGCTGAAACTGGCCACCTCTTGTGCTTGTGGAGCATGGGTCAATCTCCTTGGCGACTTTGGGTTTTACCAATAATCAGTGAAAGAGTAAACTAAAAATAATATGAATGCGAACAGAAACAAGAAGAATAACGCCAAGCCAAAACTTGACCCATGTCCCATTTTTTCTCTTGCTGTCGCAGCTCTACTCTGTGAACCTCCTCCTCCTCTGCCAGCAGAGCGCGTGCTCTCGAAGAAAGACGCCACACATAGCCTCGAAAAGAAGATGGCACAGCAGAAGATGTGACAAGCTGCTGTTATGACATGAGTCATGAGTCAATGACACTTGAGAAAGCAAGACGCTGCAGGCCTGACCCCAGTGTACCAACCGAATGTCTCTCCTCGTCCAAGGCATTTGTGTCTGCGAATCCTCGACTGTACTTCATCGTACAGCATCAGACAACCTGACCATACCTGACCACATAGTCTGAATATGAGAAGACGGCCACATGCTAGCATTGCTGCTGCGAGTGCCGCAACTGACTCTAAAGCCGCAAGCCGTAAACTCCAATTCGCGTAGATTTTCCCAGCGATGCACGTTAAAGACTTGCTTGGCACGGCACTATCAAGAATGTACGTGTTTTTTTAATGTTTCAGTTTTTAGCACTAGATTTCCTAACTCGTGTTAGTTGTTTTTCTATACATACTGTCAGTGTGTTTTCTTGGGATCTTCGGTAGTGTATGGGCAGGTGAAGCAGGCTGGTGGCTGCTGCCTGCTTACAACACACATGCAGCTGGCTCAGTTTTAATTGGGAGCAAGGGCTCCTGTGGTCTAGCGCCTAGGGCTTTGAGGTTCAGTGAGCGCTCAGCGGGGGCAATGAATTCAGCCCGATTCTGTCGTTCGTTATACTTTGTGTTGTCCTCGAGCTTTTAGTCCTGGGTCTAAACTAGACCTTCAACCAACAACAGTGAGCCCTAAGCCCTTTCTACTCACACGATTTGTTCCTGTATTAGAAGATACATACATATACACATATACATACAAACATACACATGCAGGTTCCAAGATAGGTAGATAGATAAATAGATCGACAGATAGATAGAAAGCATCGGGCGCCATTCTGTCGCGTTGGTAAAACCACCATCTATCTATCTATCTCTCTCTCTTTGCTTAGAAAAATGTATATATGATTTTCATCCATACCTATTGTTGGCCTTGTGCCTGGCTCCAGCTCTTCGTTTTGGTAGTAGCAGTAGTAGTAGTAGTCCCCTCCAACTTCATGTAGCTCTTCATGGATCCCTACCTAGGCTGAAACAACTCAGCATTCACCAGTTCTTTGTACAACATAAACATATTGTCGATTTGCACGATGTTGTTGTAGTCGAAGACACGCAGTCCTCCGAAAGTAGCTAACTAGAAGCAGCAGGTCACTCGCGTGCAATATGCGACGACCCCCTCAAAACAAAACACCTCCTCAGGTCCGAAAGCGCCTTGGTTGCAAGCTAGTAAAAAAAAAAAAAAAAGCACTGCCTTTCCTTGCGACCTGCCTTCTTCCTGTGTACTGCCCTCCTTGCCCTGCACTGTTCCTTCCTTCCTTTGTCTCACCTCCTCTGAGATTTCCTGTCCTTCTGTCGTCCAGTCGCGGCCTCTGGGATCCTAGACCCCGATGTTCATCTACTTCCCGAGTTACGGCCCCCCTAATCAAACCACGAACCTGCGTTTGTGCTGCCATGGCCCGCGAACTGGTGAGCCACTTCACTCTGGGGGCCAAAACGCGCTGTCGACACAGTACCCTGGAGTGCCCATGCTGAGACTGAAGACTGATTCTGTCGTGGATACAGATTCATGTGACTTTGGGACGGAATGCAACACACTGTTGTTGCTATATGTGGATATGCCGGCGCTGCAACCGTACCTGACATGATATGGTAGGCCTTTGCAGTGATGGCGTACCTGACACACCATACCGCCGCCAGTGGTCTGGAGGGGACAGAACCTTGCTGAATCTGCTGTGTGTGACTCCACGCCACTTGGCCCACGCAACTTGGCTCACGTTGGCATCCCCAGGTGGTAGCCACTGCTTGAGTTTTGGCCGACACCGTTGCCGGACAGTCCTCTTGGTTGGAGGAACTACTGGCATTGGCAACCAGGCACCTGCGTGCTCGCCCCTCCCATGGCACGTGGCTGGCTAGAGCACTGCGAAAACGGCCGTGCAGGGTCGACGATTATGGCTTCTGGGTGAGAGTACCTGGTCCCTGGTCCCTGGCTACACCCGCCATGGGCGACACAATGTCCCAGACCAACTGCCTTGGGGGATGCATGGCGCATTGCGCTTGCTCTCTGTGCTGGCCAAGCTGCCTCCCGACAGAAGTACCAGTGAGACGGAAAGTGATGGACAGGCGAGTCTGATACCCTGAGTGGCGCAAACGCAGTAGAGCCTGGCCTACCCTGTGATGCTAGCGTATGCGGTATGTTTGTACTGGTTCGTTTGCTTGTTCAATGGCAGCCGTATTCTATCCTCCACACCATGCCAGGCCTTCTTGCGTTGCTGAAGTAGTCTAGACGAACTTCTGCTCTCTTAGTGGAGACCTTGCCAAAGTAACCGACAGTCGGCACCCACTGGCAGTGCTGAACAGTGCAATGCGGTAGAGCCGGGCCTGACTTTTGATAGCAGCGCATGCGGTATTTGTGTATGTGTTTGTTTGTGTGTTCAATGGCAGCCGTCACCCTGAAACCAAAACCAGGCCGGGTCTTCTTGCATTGTAGCTATAGGAGTTAAACTAGTTGTGCTGTGACCCTTGCCTGAGTGGGACTGGCTACAAATGTCTGAACTGCTGAGTGGCACCTTGTTTTTGAACTGCCTTGATTTGGGGGTCGAAGGCAGCTGACGCCTTGACTCACACCGCTCGGCCCACACTTTCGCCATTCTTCTTGGCCCGCTTTGTTCTAGGTTACGGCTTTTCTTGTTAGTGAAGTTTGGAGGGAGTGTGAGCCTGTAGTAGCCGACGTGACGAGTTGCCTGCAGTGCGGAGTCGTAAGAGTCCGACAAGTGGGAGCCAAAAAAAGTAGTAGTAGTAGTAGTAGTAGCATTTGCATTGTTAGTCTGGTTATCATTGCTATCATTACCCATGCTGTCAATACTCTTATTGTTCTTGTTGTTATTATCATCACATTTCTATTGCTTGCACTACAATTCTTATTTGTTGTTGTTGCTGTTGTTGGTGTTGGCAGCGTTGTTACCATTATAACTATTGTCATTACCACTATTATTACTACTGGTGTTGTTGTTATTATTATGGGTCTTCTTCTTATATTCTTTTTATTTCTAGAAGTTGTATTATCATTGTTTACTATTATCTTCATTACTATTGTTTTCGTATTGTTTACTTGTGTTCTTGTTACCATGGCCGATTTTCCGGGAGAGGCGGGGCGACACCAAACGCGTGCTGATGGAAAGCAGCTTTGATCCCAAACCCTAAAGACCCCGACGAGGGCGAGTGTCAAGCCCTAAACCCTGACCCAAAACGCCCTTTGAGGTTGGAGGAGGCCGAGTATCTCTCAAGCCACATCGCCCGCACCTCGTGGAAGCATGCATGGTCCAGCTGCTTGAGCTTTGTTGTTCTGATTGATCGGTTAGTCCCATCGCATGAAATATTCGTCTCATGATTGTTCTGAGAATGTTCGTAGCTATTATCATTCCCATCAGGAGAGGAAGCTTTATCTGACACGATCTCGTTTGAGCATTCATTAGCACGTTTTGCAGGTCTTTTCCCTTCTAGTAGTAGTAGTAGTAGTAGTAGTAGTAGTAGTAGTAGTAGTAGTAGTAGTCGTAGAGTAGCAGTAGTAGTAGCAGCAGCAGCACCAGCCGTACTAGTAGTAGTAGTAGTAGTAGTAGTAGCAGCAGTAGTAGCAGTAGTAGCAGTAGTAGCAGTAGTAGCAGTAGTAGCAGTAGTAGCAGTAGTAGCAGTAGTAGCAGTAGTAGCAGTAGTAGCAGCAGCTGTAGCTGTAGCTGTAGTAGTAGTAGCAGTAGTAGCTGTAGTAGTAGTAGTAGCAGTAGTAGTAGTTAGTACTACTACTAGTTGTTGTAGTCAGAATCGCTCAGCTGAGGTCATTCTTCGCAGAGGTGTGGTGGCCGCCGAGGGCTCTGTGCTTCGACTCTTATCAGTCTGACATTAAGTAGGGCAGGGTTTATATTACAGTTTTGGTGAGTGTAGATGGGGCTCCTGTTAAATATTGGTGAGTGTAGATACTGGGTGTCCTTACGGGGATGCTAGCAATATAAACCATGCTCCAACATGATATCTCAAAACGACAAGCCTGCTGTGGGAGTTTCCGAACAAGGTGTACCTTGTTTGGGGGTGCTTGGAATGAGCCTCCTACTATTGGGCACAAAATAGCACGGACGTCGCAACACTTAGAATAATTACGAGTAGTACAGTAGTACAATATACCCTCATCGCCCTCATATTAGTTATGGCAAACTAGACCTAAAGCCGGGTCGAACGGTTAAGGCTCCTACAGAGACTGAGGGCTACGACACTTCATCCCGAAGCCCCTCGCACTTTATCCCATTGTCAGGAGCCATGAAAGTCAACCGCGGATGCATTGCAATTTCTGCAGTATTTATGGGAGACTTGACGATCAGAATAGGCTTCCTTAATATCCTCGTGTTTTCTACTTATGTAGGTTATAGCTGAACGTCTGCACCCGTAGAGACCTCCACGGTATCTCACGACCGTCTCGCCTCGGCGACGGGTCTACAGGTTCAGGCCCTGAAGAACGAGTGGGGCCAAGGATACATGTTAAGCCACTTGGCTTGCAGGAAGCTTGCAGGGGTGCTTGGAGGATCCGGGGACTTAGTAAGTTAGATTTTAAGTACCTTATTGGGTTAATAAGTAACTATAAGTATAGTTACCCCAATTATAACCCTAGTTACTAAGTCCAATGATGTGCAGAACACGTGTGTTCGTAGTGACAAGCGTAGCGAGTACTGTAGAGAACAGTTCGTGCCGCGGTCGCAGAACGAGGCCCGAGCCTACAGTACGAGCTAGCGTTTTTTTCGCTTTTTCGAAAGCAGAGCCATGTCTGGTTCGTGGGGTGTGCCGGACACTTCTGGTTCGCCAGACCTGTGGGCCGCGCTGCACACAGTGCTCTACAGTTCGTATGAGGACTTGGAGCCGCTGACACAGCGTGTCGAGGTCGCGGACTTGATTCGCTTCCGCAAGATGTTCGACCGCTGCGTGGAGTCGCAGATAGAGCAGCAGGTCCTGGATGCTGCCTCGACTACGACGCCGGTCGCTACCCCAGGTGCGGTGGCTCCGGATGTAGTTCCTACGGACCGCGGAACACATAGTTCGACGGCGGCAAGCTCCTCTGGGGGAACAGGGACGACGGTCGCCACGGCAGTGACAGAGGGACCTCAGGTCGCGGCGCCAGGGTCGCAAGCAGTTGCTGGTCGACCAGGAGTGCCGGCAGCCAAAGACCCGACAACAGGTCCTCCTCCGGTGCTGCCCGTGCCCAAGCAGATGTCCCCCGCCGCCCAGGTGTTCGTGAAGGCCGACCCGCCACCGTTGCGAGTGGCGAAGAGCCCCACGCCACTGAGCAAGAAGGGCAAAGGTCGCGGAGTGGCACCGACTCCTTCACCTCCGCCGGCCAAGAAGGCAGGGGTGCAAGTAAAGGCGACGCCGGTGCAGGTCGCTGCTATGTTCGCCGGGACCATGGTACCTCAGACAGGAGAGGACGCGATCGGCATGCTCCAGGCAGCGCAGTTCGCGACGACACCACGGGCCCCGGCGGTGGATGCGTCCCAGGTCGCGGTGATAGACCTGGACACTATTATATGGACGACGACCTCGACGACAGCCCTCCGTTGCCACCGCCGGCAGCTCCACCGGCCAGGTCGCCGCCGAGTAAACCGATGCCTCAACAGCCGCAGCCGGGGAAGGCGGCAGCTACTACGGAGGCGCCCAAGGCCACCGTCCCCACCCAGGTCGCCCCGGCCGCGGATACGCCGACAACAACTACAGGGGGAGCGGCTTCGGCGAGATCGACGACAGGGCCAGACCCAGGACCGAGCAGGGACGCAGGCCCTCCTAAGAGTTCGTTCCCTTCAGGTGATGCAACACGCCGGTCGCAACGAGGTCGCCCCGCCGTGGACTACCCCGACTTACAGACCGCGTTGGCTGGGGGCCCGCCGGGTCCGCTGAGGGCGCCTCAGTATGCACCGGTCGGCTTGCCCGCGCCATGGCCGCAAAGAGACGTGGAGTTAGCAATTTTCATCCGGGAGGGCTGGTCTTCCGAAGATTGAACAAACCTAGTAGCTTGCCTTTGCTCGGGCTAGGATCTCTAATCTTATGCCGGGAAGGCAAAACGAAGAAGTCTTGTCAGCGTCATCGAGATGATTGTTTTCTGGCGGTGTCATGAGATTTGGTCATGGCTTCTGTTTGGATTCTAGCTTGATTTTGTGTTTATCCCTTTTGCTAAGCAAGCAACAACTAACTGGCGATCTGCGCTCTAATTTCGGAAAGAAATTTATTTTGCGGCCGATGGCAAAGATGTGCGCTTATTGGCTCAGAGTTCAAGGCGTCAAGAGCCTGGATTCTGGATTTCAAGGTTTCCACAAAATTCAAGGCCACTACCATGTCAGTTTCGATACATACTTCTCAAGAGGTCCATATGCGCAGCGCAAATCTGCAGAACAATAAGCCGGCAAACCCAAACCAGACTCTGGCCTGGGCACCCTCACTCTGAAACTCCGAAGCTGTCGAAACCGTAAACTCCCGAGCTCTTGAGCCAGGGCTTAGCTTCGAGGTGTAGGATCATTTCGGTGGCTGGCTGCTTCCAAGAACTTTCAAGTTTTGGGCGGAGGACGGGTTTTAAAGTCGTTGGGCGAGGGTTTAGGGTCAAAGGATGTGTGGTATAGGTGCGAGTCCAAGGATAAGGGTTGATCACGGTTTTGGTTTGCAGTTGAAGGTTGGAGGTATTAAATCTAGCTCCGTCCTAAGTTTTGAAGTGCAGGATTTTGACCATCGTGTTTCGGACTGAATTCATGTGATGGTTCAAGGTTGTAGGTTTGGGGTGGTTTTGGCTGGTTCAGAGTTTCGGGCTATTATTGGCAGGATTTGGGGTTTCAATATGTCGCCCCGGTGTTTACGGCTTGCAAGTCCTTTAGACTGTAGACATAAGACATAAAGCCCATGACCTTCATCAAAGAGCCTTAAGCTGCGGACCCACAAAGCAAACCTCGACTTTAACTTTCAACCCTAACCCTACCCGAAAACCATCACTAATTTTCAACCGTGGATCCCAGACATACATCAACAGCCTCAGCCGTAAAGCTTAGCCCCACTACTCAAAATCACCGTGGACATGAACGTCGCAACCTTAATCTTAACAAGTAGTTCCTCAGCCCCAATCTCTAACCATCATCTTCGATCAACCCTAGCCCTATATAAGCCTTCGACCTTGAATCCTGTAGAAGTTAGACCGTAGTGATTCAAACCTCATCGAATCTTACCCCAACTGCTCAACTAATAACTGAGGAAGCAATCTTCGACCCTTAATCTTTTTTCTCCCACCACAAACCCGAAACACCGATTCCGTTATATTTCGCGAAGAACGAGAACCCGCGAGCGTCAGCAGATTCTCGAAAAAACAGCGCAACCATTACAAAACTTAAAAATCCGCAAAAAATGCAAAAATCTTCGAAAGGATTGCGTTTGCCCGACCCCCAAACTTTCCTCGACTCTCCGCCGGCTGCCCTCGACTCTCCTCGACTCTTGGCCCGGCTGCTAGTCTACGCTAGCTCTTGGACCCCTTCCCTCCTCGACTCTCCTCGACTCTCGCCGTGTTCTGCTCGACTCTCCTCGACTCTCCTGGGCTCTCCTCGTCTCTTCTCGGCAGCCGGTAGTGGCCATTTTACGCAATTTGACAATTTGTTTGCGATTCGCGGGTTTTGCAGTGTTTTTGCGAGGTTTTTCAGATCTGCTGACGCTATCGGTTCTTCGCGACATCTGATGGCCCCCCACATCGTCTGCGCAAAGATTTAGGGTCTGGGGCTGGGGCTTGTAGCAGCAAGGTCTTGATTACATGGTTTAAGCTTCGGACCGGGATTGTTTTTCTAAGCAGCTTGCAGCTTGTGAGGGCTGTGGGTTAGGGTCTCTATCGGGTTTAGAGTTGGGGGTTGAAGGTTGAGGACTGCTTACTCAGAAGTTACGTGGACTCTTGAGGTTGAGGTTTGAGTAGCTTCGGTTTAAGTTTTACAGGATTCAGGGTCGAAGACGCCTTTCCAAGCAATCGCGTCAGCGCTTATAGGGCCAGGGTTGGCGATGGTTAGGGTTTTCAGCTCTACACTCTACGGCTGTAGGTTGTGGTGTATGTCGGGGCCGCAGTTTAAGGTTGAGGACGGTTTGTTTGAAGTTGGGTTCGGGTTATAAGTTGAGGTCGAGGTTTGCGGGGTTTGGGTCCGGCGTGTAAGTGTAGGGTTCTAAGTTGAGGGTTTAGGCAATCGTTCTATTGTTGGCTTTGGGTTCACGGTTTAGGTTGGAGACGCACGATATATTGTTGAGGACAGCCTCCTGTAAGTGGTTGAGTTAGGGTTCAGCTTTGAGGTAAAGGGTTGTGGTTTAAGGGAGTAGGTTATCTTGCTTAAAATTTGGGGGTTTATGGGTTTGGGGCGGACTTTCGATTTGTTGTGAGGGTTTAGGGTCGGGGGATGTGCAATCTAGGTGTCAGTACAGAAAAATGGGGGTCCACAGTTTAGGGTTCGAGATAGTTTCTATGTAGTCTGGTCGCGGCTTCGGTTTGTTTAAAGGTTGGGGGTATCAAGCCTGGTTGGGTCATCGGTTTCACAACTTCGGGTTCACGGTTCAGGCTCACTCTCAAACAGCAATCAGTCTTTGAGTGTAGGGTTTTGGGGCTCTGACAGGGGATACAGATTTTGGGTTGAATGTACGTCACGTCAGGGTTGGTAGGTTTGGGCGTCTCAAGGTCTGGATCTGAGTTCTGGGGATTTGGGTTTTGGATGTTTGGATGGTTAGTGTTTTGGGGTTTAGGGCTTTGCAGCTTTATCTTGTGTGTGGATTGGGCTACCCTGTTTCATTCGCGCCTTTACAAACTGTGCGTGGCGAAGCGGTCGCGGTTTCAGTCCTCTGAAACCAGAGATCTTGACCCTGACCTCCTTGCACCCTGAGCCAACAATTGCGCGTCTCTGCTATCTATTGAATCTACTGGCTGCACCGTCCCGGTGCGCCCTGCTATTCCACGCCATTGCCGGGTGGTACGCATCGTTATTTTTGCTTGTTACATGCAATGACGGCAAGTTCTGCGGCGCTCCGTTGCCGGGTACCTGCCTTACCAAATGTGTCGGCCCCGATGAAAATTGCTACGTGGAGTCAGGCATCACTTTTCGCGATGAGCCTCCTCCTTTCACAGATGTGTCTAGTGTGTGCAACGTTCGCTGCCCGTCCTGTTGGATGCGCGCTTGCCCCCGAGTGAACCGCCCGGGCTACAGAAGGGTTCACGAACACCACTTCTGCCAGTTTTGCCACACAGAGGCGAAAAGAGCCAACCCGAACCGAACGTGAGTGTTCGCGTGCTGCCGCCGCCCCAGAGTGACTCGAGCAGAACAGTGTTTTCGTAGTTTCCTTCGGCGGGGCTTTTCTGCAGCACGCTTTCACAGTTCGCCCTCGGGCTCTCGACCCTGCGGGGAAGATCTGTTGCTGTTCGCAGCCAAAAGTGCGGTAGTCTGCGTGAAGCCAAGGTCACGGTAGGTTCCAGATATCAGGTATGAGGTCGCCCTTTATAAA